TTCATTTTGCGGCGGTGGCTCCACTTTCCCCAATGAATCATCAGGCTGCTAAAAGCGACAACAGGCAAAAGCCATCTTTTTTTTTTTGTCTCTGCCACACAAAACAAAAGTAAAAATCAACACCATGTTGGAGGGGGAAGGTGGGGGCAGGGGTTGGGTGCTGCTAGTGCAGATGGTATGCTTCTGCTCGTCAGTTTAACCAGGATGACATGGCCCGGTCCATTGCGGTCCTGGACTCTGGCATTTTAGCACTTATTCATAAAGTCCTTGCCGCAACAAAGTGCGCAACCAGAACTTGCCCCAAAATGGAAAACAAGGAAAAAAAAAAGACAAACAAGCAAAAGCGACGCCAAAAGAAGAATTACTAAAAATATATCAATGTAAAAGTTTTCACCAAACGGGAACAGACGGATGTACATATATTTAAGGGGGAAGGGGATGGCAGAGTGGGAGGGACGAAGGGAGCAAGGGGGGAGGGGAAACAAGCAACAATGTAAATTATATGCCAGTTGGCTGCTGTTACATGTGATGGGTGGGCGGTGCAGAGGGGGCAGGTTCAGGCAGCGCTGTCTCCTTTGTGCGGAGTATCTAAGTATCTGTGTGTTCAGCTGCATCTGTGTGTGTAACTCTAGCAGTGAATGTATACAGATATATATTATATATATATATATATATATAACTGCAAATTTACAAAGAACTAACTGTTCGTCCTGCAGTTGAGCAAACATGAATAGTTATGGTAGCACTTGCAACTTTTAAATTTCCAAATCCGTGCTATATATATCCGCAGATCAGACATATATATATAACAGTGTACATGAAGAGATCGATATATGTATATTTATTTTGACATGATTACTCTTTCATTCACTTATTTAATACATATATTATACACATATTTAAATAATAATAATAACAATAATTTTTATAATAATATTTTACCAGATCAGATCAGATCAGAAGCAGCTTTATACTAACCATAATTGAGTTATCTTCAAATTAAATAGTCAGTTAATAATAATATAGTTAGTGAATTAAAGCTGTGACTTTATGACATTAAATTACATCTTACAAGCAATCTAAATAATGTGATACAGATGTTTTATTTAAGGGAAAACTTAACTGTGATGAATTTCCAGCATTTTATAAATAAAATTACTTGTAATTTAAAATGATTTCGGCGCTAGTCAGTTGTATTAATATATTTGCAGAATCTGTTGATTATACGCTTAACACATAGAAACCTAAATATATTTTTAAATGAAATAAAAAGTTACGCAATTTCGTACACTGTCAAATACTTTTCAAATATATATTTTAAATCACTGTGCTTAAACATCACTTTTGTACGCTGTGAGTGGCGAGTTGTGCTTTAAGAGCCAGGCACCTACTTTCAATAAACTGCCCCAACGAGCTGGGCAAAAACAAAAGAGAACAAAAAATGAAATGAAAATATTAAATGGAAAAATGGGAAAATGGGAACTGGGAACTGGGAACTGAGAACTGGCCAGTTGCCAACATGATGTTGTGGCAAAGTTGTGGGTTAGGAGCCAAAGCAGCAGCAGCGAGTGCAAAGAGGCGCTCAAATGGGGTTGTCAGTATTTAACCCAAAAGGGTGGAGGTGCTGCCTGGCTGCGCGAACTCTGCGCACGCAGCACGACCACAACAATGGAGGATGCCACACACAGAAAGGAGGCAGGCATGATAGGTGGATGAGCGGTGGGTAGGGGGGCCGTTGCATATACGACTAACATACGAGGCACTAACAAGAGGTGCCGAGAACCACGAGATTAGGTTCAAAGGCAAAAAGACAGGACGCTGCATGAAAAAAAATGGACATGGAAAATGGAAATGGAGAACAGAAAAAAAGAAAAAAAACAGTATGCAGGATGTGATGTCGCCCCCAAGTCGCATAACTCTTCTTCTTGGCAGCGCCAGCATCCCAAAAATCCAATTGAATTAGACTTTAATGGTTGCCAGAGAGAGACATCTAGCGGTGTTAATAAAAAGCAAACTGAACATTTTTCGCTTCTTCCACTCGGCGCTGCTCTCTGCTTGGCTTTTGCTTCTTTTTTTTGTTGTTTTTTTTTTTGTCCTCTTGTTTTCGAAGAGAGCAAACAAAAAGCGAATTCCGATACAGTTAATGATAAGCCATCCGCAGCTTTAGTGGCGTGTGTGAGCGAGATAGCTGGCACATGGGCGAGAGCGAGAGCGAGAGCGAGCGCACTGCAGAGGGCGTTGCCAGCCACAGTTTTGAGTGAGAGAGCAGTGACTGAGCGTGCGTGTGTGTGTGTGTGAGTGAGTGTGAGCGAGAGCGCAAAGCGACTCAACGAAACTTGACGAAACATTTGTGAGTGAGTTGAGCATTGCTTATTGGAAACCCACCAAGTACTTCAAATTGGCACTCTACTTATTAGCAACTGCCTCGCCACTCGCCACTCGCCCCTCACCCGTCTCTCGGCCCAAGCAATTGATCATCCAATTGTACGTTTGCACCGCACATGCACATTTGCCCTACCCCAAGCCGTCGCAGGGCGTACGGGGCTGGGACGGTGGCATGGGGGTTGCAAAGTGCTGTGGCACTATTTGGCCCCTCAACTGGGTCGACACTTTTCCAATATTTCTGCATCTCAATTGCAGCTCCCCCACCTGCCCACTTGCCGCTCAGACCCCCTCACACTTGACAATCTTCGACGGTTGCCTTTTAAGACAAATCAAGTGCTGAAGTTGGCTCTTGCAACGTTCGCGTGGCCAACAATTGTTTAGGCCGCGTCGCATTTAAATTTTTCAATTTCTACGCTCTTCTTGCGTGCAAATTGCCTCAAAATGCAAATCGCCTCAAATACAACAAAAATTGTATGTTGGCGTTTTAATTGAGTGGCGTGGCTGGCATTTTCAATTGCGGCCTTAACTGCACCTCTTGGCCACCTCGGGTTTCCTCTCGTTAAAATCAAATTAAGTTATGATTTCATGTTTTGGCACTTTTCAAGTGTATTTATTGCGTGTCGCAACACGTATGTGTGTGTGTGGTGTGTGTGTGTGTGTGTATGTGTGCCTTATCCAATTAGCATAAAAATATTATTCTAATTTTATTAGACACAAACAGTCAATGGGCTTCACTTGCAGTAAAAGGAACAATTACCAGCAAGACGAACTCAGAAATTAAATGAAATTATCACTAATAATACTGGAAGGGAAATAATAAATATTCTATATATAATAATAAATATCTAAATATTTATACAATAGCACAATGTTTGCCCAATCTCAAAGAAATGTAAGAAATAAAAATATTGCCAAGATTTTTAGTAGTAAAATCATGCAAATACATAATTTTTTAATGATACCTTTATGAGAATTTAGGGTTCAAAATTCTGCCATTTATAATCACAGAACTGAAGTAAAGTATTATTTAAATATTATAATATACATTTTGTTAAGCCTTCTTTGCTCAGTAAATGATTTTTATTATTTAAATATTGTTTTCTAATTTTAAATTCCAAAAGTTGCGAGTAGTCAAGAATTTTAAAGTTCTAAAGTAGAGTACAGCTTAAAGTTTCTTGCATATTTTGGAACTATATCGATTTATCGTGAATTATTAACTGAAATTTCTTTGGATTTCTATTTATTATCAATCATAAATTCAGTTTATTAAGCTTTATAAATAAGTACAAACTGTAAATCAAGTATATGCTATATACAATACTATAATTTATCCAGGCAGCATATTCAGTTAGCTGAGCTTATCTGTGGACGCAGCCAATGGCAGAGGGCTTTAATATATACGCATGTATATATCACGGATCGGCCATTACTTTGAAACTGGTCAAAGATAAGGCCGCACGCAAAGTTTGTCAAATGTGGAAAATGTGGAGCACAACAAACTTTAAGCAGCCAACCAGAAAACATTGTGAGCCAACAAAATAAAATGTTCAACATATTTTTTTGTTAGGGGGCGTGGAGCTCATTTTAAAGTTGTTCGCACAACTTGGGCAACTGTATAGAAAGATAAAAAAAAGAAGAAAAAACTTAACGGTAAAGCATCTAACAGATGCGCCAACTACAAAACGAATAAGAGAAGAAAAAAAACAGACAAGCCGAGGAACCCAAACAGAAACAGAAACAGTAACAGAAACGAGTTCTTGTTGGACGCCCAGCGGAATCCAATGAGCGCAAGAGAGTTTTCACTCAGAGAGAGAGAGAGAGAGAGAGGGAGAGCCGATTGTGGTGGTTGTGGTGGTGGTGTTGGCATTGCTCGCTATGCTGGTGGTGGTAGTGGTGGTGAGCCCAAATCAGCCAAACGCATTGGAGGTCTTGCCCCGCCACCAAAGAGAGCAACGGGTGCGAATGCGACCGGTGATTTCCACTCAAATGGAGCTGTTGCCATTAAGTGGCAGCTGGTGCGAGCGGTGCAGCAATAGAGCTGTGGCCCGGGGTGCAGCTGTATCTGTATCTTTGACTGTGTATCTGAGCTGTGCGCTCTGTCAGTGGTGGAATGAGAGAGATTTGTGTGATGTGTCGTTAGGTCGAAACGGTCGAGTCGGGTCGGGTCGTGTACCTTTTGCCACGAATGTTTTGCCAGTCAGGCTCTAAAAGGCCTTACGAGAACAGCTGAGATTTCGCTGCTCGCATGACGCGCTTTTTCCACACAAGATAGAAAAATTTTTCTGAATTTTTATATCACATTTTCAAACAAAGTGCATGCAAAGGCGAGCTAAGAAATTTTCCACAAGTCTCAAAATTAATTCGTGTGAGTGCAAATAAAAAAAAAAAAATGCAATTACAAGAAGAAAAATAAAAACGCAACGAATGAAATTTAAAAAAATATTTAATAATCAAAAATATATAAAAACTACAAAAGTGTTTTACGTGCTGTGTAAAATGTGCAGAATAAAAATAAAATAATTATAAATTCAATTTAATTATAATTATTGCAAAGAAAAATCCCAAATAATCAAAATATTTCAAAATACTTGGCAAAAAAAGTGTAACGGAAAAAATACATATTTTTGGGGAATAAAAAAAGAAAAGAAAAATTGTTGAAACCGTTCTTTGGTGACTTATTCCGTTCCCGTGCAAAGTGTATTCCAGCGGTTATTCCACGTGTTCCGATCCGGCCGCCAAAATTATTACGCACAATTCGCTGAGCGTGTACGGTGGCGGCGTCATGTGCGCCTCACCGTCCACCGCTCCCGGCTTCTTCAATCCGCGGCCGCAGTCCGGCGCCGAGCTGTCCGCCTTCGATCTGGGCCTCTCGCGCTCCATGACGTTGGGCGTGCCGCCGCACAGCGCCTGGCACGATCCCAATCTGGGCGGCCATCTGCATGCCTCAGCCGGACCCGGCTCCCTCGCGGGCACCAACAGCAGCGGTGGCGGCGGCGGCGGTGGTGGCGGTGGCACCACACCCAGCAGCGTGGCCAGCCAACAGTCGGTGGGCATCAAACAGGATCTGTCCGGCCTGAGCGCCTCGACGGCAAACCTCAACCAAAGCGCACATCACGTCATCAAGGAGGATCTGTCCAGTTTGCCCAGCGCCAACGGCGGCTCCACTTCCGCACATCACACAAGCGCCGCTCAGTCCGGTCATGGCCCGGATCTGGTGCCCATCATCAAGGGCTCACAGTCGTCCAGCTGCGGCGGCGGCGGCGGCGGTGGTGGTGGTGGTGGTGGTGGCAGCACCACGCCCAGCTCCCAGGCAAACAGTTCGCATTCGCAGAGCAGCAACAGTGGATCCCAGATCGATTCCAAACAGAGCATCGAGTGCGTCGTCTGCGGCGACAAGAGCTCCGGCAAACACTACGGTCAATTTACCTGTGAAGGTGAGTAACACACAAAAAGGGAGTAAGCAAATCTTCGCGTGCTTTTTTGTTTTTTTTTTTTGTGCTTGATATCTGCAAATGATGACCAAACAGAAATCTAAACTTCAAAATAGTTTTGTTGCCTGCAACTCAGAAACTGGCACTCAAAAGCGTGCTGATCTTGACAGATACGTTGAATTATGGCAGTTTGATGAGTTGGCAATAAAATTCGGTGATGTATCGTAAAACTTGTCTAAAGTGGGTGTGCGTGTATATGTGTGTGTGTGTGAATGGTTGCAAATAGGTGCAGGCAGGGGAAGGGGAAGGGTGTGTAAATGCTGACAGCAACTTCAGCTACATTGCTAACTATTTCCCACAACACACAGTGGATACAACAAGAGTGCAACTGTGCATCAGTCTATTTGGGCGAAGGAATGGATCATCAGTATGTTTTCTAAAAGGATTTTAAATTAGATCTTGAACGTGATTATCTTTTCAACTACCACATTTTTATCTCTGTGATCCAAATGAGTTGCATAGCCAATATCTACTGTAGCTAAAAATACAATTGCTGCTTTTATAGTCAAACTTTAGATAGTCTTTTAGTTGTTCATAGATCAATCAATATCAAATATCCTCTATTAGACAGATCACACACGATATATAACATGTCTTCGACTTTATTTGCAGCACTCGGATTTATTTGTTCAGCTATTTATATATTTTACAGATACTTCATCTTTTCTGTTGCAATAGTTGCACACTCGCAAGTCGAAATCAAGTGCAGATATTCTTGTATTTGATTGAGATTTTCAAATGACATTTCATATACGATTCTCAAGTATCAACAGCAACACCAACCTCAGCATTAGGCAATTACTACTGTACTTGCACTCTGGCAGAACAAAATTCGCGATTTCACCATTTCAAATCTGCATCAAATACTTTTATATCTTCGCATCTTTCGCGCACTTTTATATCTTAGTTAATTTTGCAAGAAATACAACAGAATTTCTCGAAAAATCTTAAAAAGTTCGCCTCAGAGATACTTTTGCCAGCCAGTTCTGGTCAAAATGCTGTTACAACTCCCGCAATTGCTCCAAGCGATCCCGTCGCACGCACCCGCAACGTCTTAACTCGCTTATCGCCAGATAAAAGAGTAGAAATATGAAGAAAAAAAATTATTATTATCTATATGAAATACGATGTGCTTTTGTACTAAGCCAAACAATTGTTGTGCAAACATGCAAATTGTGCGGCTACGGCCGCTAAATGAATCGCCCGCCTTTTTATTGTCTTAGACCTGGCCAAGAGAGCAGACAGCAGGGGAGGGCGGGCAGGGCTATGTTGGAGAAATCTGCATTCATGAGCTTAGATTAACGCTGCACGCAGCGCTGGCATTTAGTAGAACGCAAAGTTTAACTTGTCATATTCGTATCTCTTCAAATGTGCAACTCTTAGTCAGAGAGAAATTACAGCTGCAACGCGTAGATATGTTGAACAGTGGTGTGAGTTGCAATAAAAACTGTTTGCAAAGTTGATCATTTAATTCAATATTCAATTCGATTTATTGTTCATTTGTTTCTGATTTTTTTGCTGGGAAATTATACATCTAAATTGTTTTATTTTTCTAATTTCCTTATAACTCAAAAACTTAATAATTTTGAATGAATTGAATCACTTTATTTTTTGGATAAAGGAAAATTAGAATTTTATTATATTAAACTGTAAACTTCTTTGATTACCTTAAGACTTGAATATATTTAGGGATAAACTCATTATATGTGAAAAAAATCCAATTTATATCTTAGGCACTCTTCAGGCTAAAGTCTCTCTAGTGTTTTTCTTTTGAATAGTAGAAAGCAATCCTTGGCAGATATATTTAAGTATCTTGAGTCACTGTTCGCATTGCAACATTGTGGGCGCTTTTATCATTATTAATCACCCAGCATTTTGTACGCATGCGCAGCAACAATAACAACAACAGACTGCCAGACGAATAAGAACCACAATCAAAATATGTGGCTCGGTGACCGCCTCGCTGCATTCTGAAGGTGTTTTCTGCAACTCGCCACCCGCTTGCCCATGCATGTGATGCACACAGATACACGTGTACCTGTGACTGTTGCAGTTGTGTATCTTTTGGGGGCAGCGGCGGCTGATGATGTTGCCACGATTGCAATCTATTTTGTTCTATGTACTCAGTCTCGAGTCGCGGCTCTTGCATCTTGAGTCGCAAGTCTCAAGTTGAAGCATGGACGAACACAACAAAAAAAAAGCAACAAAAAAAAATAAATGCAGAAAATGTATTTCAAACTAAATAGTAAAGCGAATAGAAAACGCTCAACGCTTAGGAGCATATCATTGCCAGTTTTTTTTCTTTTCATTTTTTTTTGTTTTTTTGATGATCGCTTTCCACCAATATGCCATAATGTGCGTCCTTTCAGCTGATTCACTTCCAAGCTGAGTTACCACGTACTTGCATATAGTTGCCACAACTCGTTTTGCGCCGTTGCTGTCTCACTTGTCTGTCTGTCCGCCTGACTGTCTCTCTGTCTGTCTGTCTCTCTGTCTGTCTCTCAGTCCCTCTGTGCTGTCTGCGCTGTCGGCGCTGTCTGTCCAGGGCGCAGTATGTGAAATTTATTCCAAAAAGACACCCCACTCCGCCAAGCGTCCTCTCGCATTCGTAGCTGTAAGATTAATTGTAGCTTATGCGTGTTGCCTGTTCCTGAGTCCGAGCATCTTACTCCTCGCCCCTTGCCAGTTCAGCAGTTCTTTGTAGTAGCAACTTGTTTGATTCCGTACACAGCTGTTCCTTTTTTTTTTTTGGTTTTATTTTTTTTTGGGCCACACTTGTAGGTGAAATTAGGTACTGACAGATATCAGGTACCACTTATAATTTTGCAAGTTTACACAACCAGGAAAATACTCGCGAGTCTTGCCACATAACCTTTGCCAAAAGTCACGGTTCAAGCGGCTGCTGCTGCCTGAAAAATGTTCGCCGATAAAGCGCACTGATAATATTAATGATGAGTGCATGCCTGTAATGTGCCAAGCCTAGCCAACAAAAGCAACAGGAACAGGCCACAGCCAACCAGATAACTCGCCTATTAATTTAGCCATTTGTCATAGCTATTAGTAGGCAATACTTGAGGTTTTTACTCAGTATTAACGCTCATCATATATTTTTTTCATTTTTTTTCACGTACATAATTTCGATTGTGTTGTGCAGTTGTTCTTGGAACTTGTTGGATATTCCTTAAACACCTTTGAATTGCAAATTTGTGTTGCGATTATTTATGGCAAGAAAATGTATCTTAGCGCCCATGTCAAAATATAATTAACTTGATTTATCTGCTGCCCCACATGAGTACGACAAATAAATTTCATGAAAAATTGCAACACAAATATAAGTAGCAGCCATGCAATTAATTTAGTGCCACATAAACATTAACTGCAAGAGCAAAAGAAAAGTTTTATAAAAAATGCAGAAAACTAAGTAAAATAATAACTAATGCATGCCTCGCCTGGCGCTTGATACAACAAGAACAACAACAACAACAAAAGAAGAAACATATCAAGTCTAATTATTAAGTGCAAGCAGCACGCATTCGCTGTGCGAATGTATCTCGAAGATACTTTGTCAACTTGATGTAGTAGGCCGTCGCAAACGCATTAACATTTTGCACAGTGCATACGAGCATACGAGCAAAAGCAAAAGGAAGTTTCATGTAAGCTCATTTAAATTATTTCCCACGTTCCCGCAATTAAAGCGCAACCCAAAAACCAAGAATTCATATGCGGAACCACACAATGGTCAAGCAACAGCAGCAAGCCCAAAAACAAAAAAAAAACCGATGAAAAAAAACTAAATCCAAACAAAAAAAAAAAAACAATTTTTTGATGTTGACAATGTCACAAGTTGCTTCAAGCTTGTCCATACTCATCATTGTCTTGTATCTCTTCTTTTTTTTTTTTTTTTTTGCTTTTGGATTTCCTTTTGAAGACATTTGCTGAGCAACATGTGTGGCTTTTTAATTCACTTCATTATGATGTATTCAAATATAGCGATCTTCAGTGCACAAAATAATCGTAAATTGCACTCAAACTCAGCAAGCATGAATATTTGAGGTTTAATAATCCACTCCGATCTTGCAAAGCTACGAAATTCTATATATTATTTATAGAATCTGTTTGCTTTTCACTTTGAGCTTTCCAATATAAATATTTTCCGTTTGCTTTTGCCATTGCACTTTTACAGATCGGAGACTCTTTAATAAATTATTTGAAAATTCCAATGGGTAGACAGATTCGCTGAGCTTTAACAAAAGGCGCACATAAATCAATTAGCTGTCTACTCGAGGCCCAAAAAATAAAAAAAAAATTTTAATAAAACACACACCAAATAAAAAAAATAAATAAGTAACAACAACAAAGTAAATACGATTGCAAAAAAAAAAAAAAAATTACAAACGCCCACTGCGCATTTTTCAGATCTGTTTTTCGTGGTGCAATTTATGACGTTGCAGCCTTATGCAGTTTTTTTTGGTTTTTTTTTTTTTTGTGGGGCGTTAAGGCGTGGCTGCGACGCCCGCTGCAAAACGTATTTTACTTATTAATTAGTAACGAAAAGCTTAATAAATTTCTGGCTTGTATTAAATTTGCATTTAACATTGTTTTCGACTTAAAACTCAATATCATTTATTATTTGAGCATAAATCGCTTTATGATTAACATTTATAACTTCCGTACGATTTGGCACATGCACAAACACATGATTTACAATCACCCCTCTCTCGGGCACATATGCATGAGGAATACCAAAACGAATTTCGGTTAACTTATAGCAGCAATATTCATTTTGGCAAATTGTGGCAATAAAATTGTGAGGTAGCTACCAAAAAAATGAAAAAAAAAAGGGGGAGAAAAGAATAATATTTATGTTTACTTTTTTGCCTGATCGAGTTGTGGCAACTATGGATTGCCTCACTGCTTGCCTTGTCAACATTAATGAGCTGGTC